AGAACATCTTGTTATTTACTGACAACTCCATAAAGGTGGGCAGTGTATATCTATGTTTACGTAAGAAATGATAAATACAGGGTGTGGATATATTCACGGTAACGAATTGTTATTTCCATCAATTATGTAGGCACCATAATATTTTCTCTGTAAGTTCCTTCGTTTTCCTCAAGATTGTTTTCATGGACAACTTCCTCTTAAGGTACTCCACTTTACTGCAGAGAGTCAGTCAGACTGGATAATGGGCTCTTTTTCCACTAACAGCTATTTCTGTGGCCAGTAGCAGCCAAGCTGACCAGCAGAACTGCTTGTCGTTTCCCCATCAATTAACCACTAATTAGCACAATGAGGGCTGAAGTTTGCTTAAGAATTGTCTATGTAATTGCCTGTAATGTCCGCAAACAATGGGTCTTAATTCAAACTTTGAGACAAGCTTATAATTGTATGTCATGCATAGATCAAGTAGAGGTGGCAATGGCTCGCATAAGCAGGTGATTTGAGCGGAGATAAACAGGGAGGGACTATGGCGTAAGGATTGGCAAGGCCATTGTGTGGTGCTGCTGTTCATATGGGTAGAGGATAATTAACACCTCACTCTAACAGCAAGCTGTGTGGCCCATTTTATTTTATGTTGGGGGGCAAAAGAAAACAATGGGGAGGGACTCTCCACAAAGTAGGTGATTGACATTATATGCTGGAGAAAGCCCTGGAAGCATTCCTCTGGCCCTGCTGTTTGGAGAGGAGAGTGATAGGGGGGTTGATGCCACAGCGCCAGGCAGGTTTTGGACCGGTCGGAGCTGGAGTGTCACTGTCAATTAATCTGTTGGTATTGGAAGGGCAACTCCACCACTTTTCAACCTCATTTTCATTATCTCCAGCACAATACCAGTGTCAACATACTGTATGTGAAAACGGCGCATTTCTACGTTTTGTAGAAAAAAATATAAAGTTAAAAGTTCTAGCCGATGACATCATCAAAAGTTAAAACATTAAACAGTGATTTACAAACACTATGAGATTCGCGGTGATGTGGGGAGCAAGAAATGGGTCTACACCGGTAGCGTTTGCTGGCCGAGAGTACTTAGCACCTCTGAACCGAGTGCCGGCCGTAATTTAGAAACCGGGTGCCGGCCGAAAATGACGGCATTCAGACCAACGGGTGGTCCCAAAAATACACACCGCCGAACGAACGGCAGACGAACGGCAGATCAACATTCGGTGCGGTGTGTGTGTGTGTGGTCCCTAAATAGACATTGTAGACATTTCCAAAGACACATTTTTGTAGTTGTTTGACTATAGAACAAAATACCCTGAGGACGTGCCATGCCTTTGACATCAATCGCAGATTGACTACACTCCAAAGTCTGCAGATAGTTGTTGGAAAAGTTTGGGCTGTTTTTTTCTGTCTCTGGCAGAGTGTCTGACTTACTTTGACAACAAATGTCCAGACATCTGCCTCTCCTCTCCTCCGTGCTCTGATGTTGCCTGGCCAGCAGTATGACGGCACACACTTCAGAGATGACAAAGACACTTGGCCATGTTTCCCCCTGTTCTGTGAGAGAAATGTAACAATTAGAACCCAACTCTGGCAGTCAGCATGCCCCAGAGCATTATGTTGTATTCTCTCTGTTCGAAAAACCAAAGGGCTTCATCTTGGCTTTTGGGAAATTTTCTGTGGCGACTTTGCCACCTTTGTTGCATCTGGGTCCCTGATAAGTAGCACAGTATTCTACTGATGTCTATTCTGAGTTCTGGAGGCAGAGGGAGGCTGGAAGACAATTAGAGGCATGGAAATGGATCAGATAGTTGCAGAAGTTGACTTTATTTGCACAGCTCTCACAGCTTCTGACACTCTTCACCAGAGCAGTCTCTACAGTGAAACCAGTGTCTCAATGGAGGCCAACCTAGGTCTGCTCAAATTGTGTTTGTTTCTAATGAAATTAAGGGCATCTGCAAAGCATTACAGGATTGCCTGAAGTTTACTGTAAAGTGTAATTGCTGATTTTAGTTTATCAGTGGTTTCAATCTTTTACAGACTATTCAATAAGACTTCAGCCCCTTTTCAATAGTATTTTTATTAGTATCTTCCTATTTACCATGCCTTCCTTTCTGGGTTTTATGTACATGTTTATGAACCTGAGAACATTTTTATTTGGGGGGGATTTAATCAAATCTGTTAACCAGATTTCTGTGTTTTTAGTCAAACACAATTTGTAATTGATTTTTGATTGAATAGGGGCCCCTTGATTCTTAGCCTAAATGTTCTGTGATTTTGAAGAGAGAACATGACATTCCCACTTTGATTTGAGACTCCCGCCCCGTACTTAGAGTGAAGGAAAGATCTACATAACGACTGGTCTCTCAGCTTTTCCTGCATGAGGAACACTGACCTTTGCCTATATATGTGTGTGTGTGTGTAAGAGTGCTTGAGGAAAGATTTCTAGAAAGCAGTTTAATAACTCTGAGGCCCCCCTGAGTTGATCCCCTACCGATGGTCTCTCGCTCTCGCTCTCGCTCTCTCATTAGTGAGTAGTGTGCGGCTGGTGTGTAGGTGACTACAGTGAGGTAGGAACTGCTGAGACTGGGTGTGTGAGGTAGACATTTACAGGGAGTGTTGGGGAAGATAGTCGTTTGAAGGGGTCTTTCTATAACCAGCCGCTCCATAGAGTACAGTGGCAATTCTATAAAGGAGGCTGGCTCATTTTAAATTTAAAAGTGCCTCGGGGTATGTTCCCCAGTCCCATAGAAGCTGTCAAATAAGGGAAGGAGGGGGCGGGGGAGCTGGGGGCGGGCATGGTCAGGCCAGGGTAGACCAAACGCTCACAATAGGGCTTGTTTCATTTGCGGAGGGACTCGTGATTGACATAGATTAGACAGTGAAAAACGTATTGTTTTGGTTTTCCCTCCAGAAAGCAGCATTCATTGGGCAGTATGCACAGAACAAAATAAAGTTTCAATAGGGAGCTAGCAGCCTCTAAAAGCAAGGGCCTCCTGACAGTTGTATGGACTTGGGCCTATTAGTTGGGACCTGCGATTCAGCCTTGAGCAGTGTGGTGAAAATGAAGAGGACTGATGTCAACTCCAAGAATCCCTTTTGGATGGGAATAAGGGTCCCCTTCCCCCCTCCCTCAGTACTCTATTGGACCCCAGCTGTCAGGAAACAATACCCTCTGCCTGCTCCGACAAACTCATTCCTGAAAATGTTTTTCTCCCTCTCTCCCTTTCCCCCTCCTGTTATGTCTTTTCCATTTTTAACCCGCAGTCATCCAAGCTTCCTTCCTCCCTATGAACTCGAGTGATGAATGAAGCTTTAAAAATCTAATCCTGCAAAGATGATTGTCAACTCTTTTAAGCCTTGAATCTTTCACATGCATTCAGCGAGTTTTCCCCCTTTTAGACTTTGTGCAACATTATAATTTATTAATGAAAGTACACAGCCTTGGTTTATGTAAGATGAGGAAACGTGCCATGTCTTATTGTACAATATGGCTTTTTTCCATGCAAAATAGATATTTCATTTATTTTAATCTGGGGTGTGGATTTTGAGAGGGAGAGATGCACAAACTAGCTGAAACAGCTAAACTGTTAAACTGGTCTTAAACCCTTCAAATCAGTACAGTGAAACAGTCAAAGGTTGCCTGATAAGACCCAAGCCCATGTGGCTGAGGTTGGTTATTGGGACTCTGAGATACACATCATCCATCCTTCTCTCTATATAGCCTGCTGCTGACCTAGCCATTTTGGGGAGTGTCATAGTGAACATAAATTAAACTACTGAGTAATGTGCAAAACAACACGCAATTAGTAGATGCATTACAACTGACACATGCAGAGGCTTTGGAATCATGTTGGTATTCTATGCCCAAAAGGCAATGTAGATTAACTATGATACCAAATATCTATGTGTGCTCGCACAAATGCAGCGTAAGCGGAAATGAAAACCCTTTTAATTAATTTAAAATCGTTGGATACCATGTAGAAAATCCACATGTATGACAGTCTGCTATATCCGGTATTTAAACTGATTCACAAACCAGATGGCTGAGCTCTGCATCGGTCCGAGCACCAGCTCCACACACAGCACCAAGACTTAAAATATATTTTTTAAGTGTTGCTTTCAGGAGGAGATAAAACAACTCCTCCATACATGACCCTGTTCCATGGGGAGTTACACATGGGCTGGACTGCCATAAATGAACAATTGTGTTAAACTCTGTGCCCCAAAAAATTGAAAAGAAAACAGTAATGTTTAAGCCAATGATAACAAGTATGATAGCAAGGTGAAAAATGCTAACAATAAAAGTGGATTAGTTTGGTTTGGGTCAAAAGGCCAAAACAATTCACCAGGATGCCATAGGCTTAGTGCGGAGACCCCACCCCTGCCTTTCCCCTCTCTCCTGATGGAGCTTCCTTCCAGCTGTCCCTTCCCACCCTCTAGTCGATGGGCGCCCACAGCTGGAATCTTGTTTTTCCCTGACAAACTGCGATTTCACAGTCCCCCTCCAGTCCGCTGTGTTCACATCCCTCTCCCCCTGCTGCCAAAAGCCTGCGTCTGTCTCCAACAGCATAGGAGTCTCATACAGGTGTCTGTCAGAGTTATGGCTCTCTGTTGGCTCCCACACCATTTATTACATTGTGGTCTGTTCTGGAATAGCTAAATCATATTTCATGCAATTCATTCTCAACAAGCATTAGTGAGTTAGTCTCAACACATTATAGCAAGTTAGGTAATAGGATATGGTGTAAAATATTGTGAGTGTGAACTGTGAGTGTATATGAAGCAGATTAGGTATTATTGTATAGAAATACATTCCTTTTCACTGTGATTGCTTTCATTTGAATCTATCTTGATCATCCTGTATCATTACAATTGTTGTTTGTTTGTTTCATTACTACCAGTAGTCTTTATTTATGTTTTCATGTTTTGGTATGCATGTCCTTCGTATATTATTTTAATGTATTTAATGTTTGATTCATGTTACTCCTTCTTCACCCCACAGTACCTGCAGATGAAATGGCCTCTACTGGATGTCCCTGGAGCTGCTGGACTCAAAGACTCCCGCTCCCCCACCCCAGGACACCTGGTGAGTACACCATACCATCCATCCATCTATCTATCCATCCACTGGGTCTAGTCACAGCTCACAGCACCCTACACTACACTACATCATTACACAACAGTCATCTAGTCATTCCATACCATGCCAGTCCAATACATAATTTATCATTAATTATCATATAATTTAAGTTCACGTCTGGCCAGTTCATATGCCTTTCCGTAGATAAGTCGTCTGTGATTAATGTTTTGGCACAGCCTCTTTTGTCCACCTCTTGACCTGCAGGACCTTGCAGGACCTGCTGGGCCTGTTACACCTCACATGGAACCGTGTTTTCGTGATAACACTAGATAAACAGCACTAGGGATCAACATACCATGAAGTGTGGAGAGAATGTAGAACAGCGTATCGTGCCTTAGATCATATCTTGCTGATCTGGGGTTAGGAAAGTGATCTGTAGATGTGCTCAGAGAACCACCCTCAGTCACCACGCTGTGAGAAAATAACCACAGTGACTCAGCCTGTGACCTCAGTAATCCTGGCTAGACGGGTCTGTTTTAGTTTGTGGTGTGATCTCATAAACGCAATGATGCACTTGACAAAGTCCTCATTGAGTGGTGTCAATGGGAAGCTGTTGTCAGTGGGAACAGTGCTGGCCTTGCCCTGGGGAATCCAGAGCTGCTCTGTGGCTGACTTCACTCTCAATTGGAAGCCAATTAAATATATTTTATTACAATAAGTGCTGACCTGTCGGTGACTCTCTGAGCATGGCTCGTTTGTTTTGTTCCTGCCAATGGATTTTATTTTATTTACTTAATATATAACATTATGAAATGCAAGGGCTTGCATTATGGGACAGCAAAACATCTGAATAAGTAGCAGAGTAATAGCAAGTGAATCAGGAGGAATTGAAAGGGGATATTGAAGACTTGACGTGGACACTGAGGTCTTTGGCTTGGTTCCATGCTGCCCTGCCTTGGCTGAAAATTCCGGATTTGTCTCTTGCAGCGAGCTTTCTATATCTGTGCGACCTTCATCTTTATTGAACGTCTATTGAACCAGGAAGGTCAATAGAGAGAGACTTATTGTGGACTTTGCCATTCAGACGTGAGGGTTTTACTGTAGCAAATTTTGAAGGAGAATATTTGACTTACTTATTTTAATTGCCTAACTTTAGATTTGGTAGTGGACAGTTTGCTTGTTCCCATCATAAGTCACTGTCTCCTTTCTCTTTTTATATTTTCTTCCCCTTCAGCTAAATCTCTTCTGGCAACAGAGTATCAGGTCATGTGAACTAGAAGAGGAAGTAGCCATGGTAGATCAGGTGATCTGAGACAAAGGGTCATCAGATGTGTGAGCAGAAGCATCCTCTGATACAGAGGGAGTGTAGCCTCGTAGCATGGGCCACTGGGGATTCAGACTGAAACACCCCACTGTGCCCTTACTCCCACCACACACACACACTCCACGGCCATAAGCCCACATGCCCTTCTGGTGAGCTGCTGCCAGGGAGCCAGGCTGATTATGTGCTCATTACCCCAGTAGCAGAGAGGGGGAGCAGGAGGCAGGCTCCCCAGGCCTGCAGAGCCCCAGCACTGCACTAATGAGAGCAAAGGGAGCGGATGGGAACCTACAGAGGTACACGGGGGTCCAGGGATTACTGCCCAGGGGCCAGGGCCAACACCAGCCAGAGGGACCTGAGGAGAGGGAGCCGGGGGACAGCAGCAGGGCTTCCATCAACCACAATCTTTATGTATTCCTGCTCTCTTCTGCAAGGACTCATTACATGTCATAATTGTATATTCATGATGGCTGGCGTGGAGACAACGTTTTTCTCTGATATTGATTATGTGCGACTCCTGGGGGTGACCCTCAAGTATGCACGTACGCATGTACCTTCAGAATCTTCAATTGTTCATGCACATATGACCCTTTTATTGATTACTTATCTGCCCTAGAATGTGTTTGTAGAAAGGCCTTCTCCCCCCTTAGTGTATTTGCTGATGAATAAGTCATTTAGCAGCAGCTCTACAGCAGTAATGAGATGATGATGATGCCATCGCTGATGATCAGATTCCTGGTGACTCAGATCATCAAGTGTCCCTCACGGTGCCTGGCCTGCAGCAGACAACAATGTGCATTGTAATGAATGATGGAGCTGGTCTCACTAGGGCTCCTCTCATTGTGTTAGTGGACCAGGAGCGAGAGGAGGCTTTGAAAAAGATATGAAACCCTTGTGTGGATATGAAAAGCCCAGGGAACGGGGAAGTCTGTCCTGTAGCTGCTGTGCAGATTGGGTCCATAAGGCCTGTATGCTAATCGGAGCCTGCTCTGGCCGAGATCCTCAATTATTCACGAGACAGGTTTGTTTAGCATTCAGTTGGTATTGCTTTTGGTAGTATTGGAGGGGGGGGCTACCTCTTCATTCAATATACATCAAAGGCAATGCAGGGCCAGGTGATGTATTGTGGGAGTCAGCCTCAGCCTTGTCACTCCACCAGTAGTGTCCGGCCTTGCTGGACCGGACTGGACAGGGAGAGAGAGCTGTCTGCCATCTGGCTCCTGTGCATTTGCACAGCAGCAATAACGCACTCCTCAAACTTGAGTAATGCAGCCCGATCATCACCATGGTGATCACGCTGTCAATACCGCTCCTTCAGGTCATTCTACCATTCCTACTGGTTGGTCCATGTTAGACTGTTCGACATGTGGCACTCCAGTCTCCTTTTCACCTCATTTAACACCTTATTTACTTAACAAAAGGTACATCTCAATAGGTGGTCAAGGTAAGTCATGACATGACACAAGTAGGGTGGGCCTTTCCACTTTTGTTCTCTATTGTTCCTCAAGCAAGGGGGAGTCTGATGACATCACATTTGACCACCAGACCAACTCCTTGAATGCCCTACTCCTTGAAGTTCGCAGTTGTCTAAAAAACACTACTTTGCAAAAAACATATATTTTTTTACATTTTTTGTGTGTGTACCAGGGTAGAAAAGCCAATTTAAATAAAATTGGCGCTGGCCAATTGTCCGGGAGAAGAAGAAAAAATCCCATTATGAAGTAATGCTTTTTAGCCTATTCATTGATGGAAATACCAGTCTATGGAAATACATTTGACTGGTCATGCTTATCGGTTTATAGGTTAATTTGCATAATTTTGTGGAATTAAATAGTCAAGTGTGTAGTCTACAGTTTATTCATCAAGTATCTTATTTATCACACACGTACAGCATACAGATACAGAGCATTTGAGCGGAAAATCAGTCAGACAGCGGAGAGCTGCTGCTGCTGCAGCTTCTCAAATGCAAGGGAAGGCAGGCTTCATCAGCGCGTCACACACCACTTTGAGCTGGAGGCAGTATGCATTTTGAAAACATACTTAATTGTTTGAAACCTGAATGTTTTAACACATTATGAGGCATCTTACTTTGCTTCAAAGTAGGCTTCTAGAACTCCTCTCTTTCTAAATTCTAGCGGATATTTTAATCTCTGTCACATGAAACCGCTCGCATGCAGTACCCTTTTGACAATGGTGTTTTCCCGCTAATTGCATTATGGAACGAACATTCACGTGTAGCCTACTGCCTTGTGTGCATTGCTGCGCTTATAAAGTGAAGAAATAGTAGTTTATCAAAATTGTAAGCTAAACGTTCTGATCTGTTTCATTCGACGCATTGCTTTAAAAAAGAAAAATGGTTGTATGAATTTGGGATCCATCTTCCCACAACTGTCCCAGAGTCTGTTTTGGATTAGGATATTTATTTATGGACAAGCTGACCATATAGAATAGGTTAACTTTTCTACTATGGGTGAGAGTAGATTGACATAGGCTAGTGATTTTGCTGTTCGTTACTGGTCTTGTAGGCTGAGGAAAAGTAAATGTGGACAGTTATTCTAAACATCTTCAAAGTGCTCATCAAAATTCAGTAAGAAGTTCCGCACATCATTGCATCCTGGACTTGCATGTTCTGTTAATATGATTTACCAAAATCAAAATGTGATTTCTGTCATTCCTGCCCTAATCAGGTTACGCCACATTTTCCTAATGGAAACCCTGGGGTGTACTTTACTGTACTTATACACTACATGACCAAAAGTATGTGGACACCTGCTCTTCGAACATCTCATTTTCCCCCTTTGCTGCTACAACATCCTCCACTCTTCTGGGAAGGCTTTCCACTATATGTAGGAACATTGTTGCGGGGAATTGCTTCCAATCAGCCACAAGCATTAGTGAGGTCTGGCACTGATGTTGGGTGATTAGGCAGTTGGCGTTCCAATTCTTCCCAAAGGTGTTCGATGGGGTTGAGGTCAGGGCTCTGTGCAGGCCAGTCAAGTTCTTCCACACCGATCTCGACAAACCATTTTTGTATGGACCTCGCTTTGTGCACAGGGGTACTGTCATGCTGAAACAGGAAATGGCCTTCCCCAAACTGTTGCCACAAAGTTGGAAGTACAGAATTGTTTAGAATGTCATTGTATGCTGTAGCGTTACGATTTGCCTTCACTGGAACTAAGGGGCCTAGCCCGAAGCATGAAAAACAGCCCCAGATCATTATTCCTCCTGCACCAAACTTTACAGTTGGCACTATGCATTGGAGCAGGTAGCATTTTCCTGGCATCCGCCAAACCCAGATTAGTCCGTCGGACTGCCAGATGGTGAAGCAGTTTCCACTGCTCCAGAGTCCAATGGCGGCGAGCTTTACACCACTCCAGCCGATGCTTGGCATTGCGCATTGTGACCGTAGGCTTCTGTGCGGCTGCTCGGCCATGGAAACCCATTTCATGAAGCTCCCGACGAACAGTTATTGTGCTGACGTTGCTTCCAGAGTCAGTTTAGAACTTGGTAGTGAGTGTTGCATGTTGAAAGTCACTGAGCTCTTCAGTAAGGCCATTCTACTGACAATGTTTGTCTATGGAGATTGCATGGCAGTGTGCTCGATTTTATACACAGGTGTGGCTGAAATAGCCAAATCCACTAATTTGAAGGGGTGTCCACATACTTTTTACTAGCAAAAGTTAAAACATCAATGGAGGACGTTTACGGGGAATGTGACTAATGAGATCTGATAGTCCTGACTTCAGTGTTTGTCCGCCCAGTCCAGTCATCAGATCATCAGGACTCACAGCTCAAATATGGCCTCCTGCTCTGAATTTGAAAAGTTTACCTATTCTATATGGTCAGCTTGTCGAGAAATAAATATCCTAATCTTGTGTTTCAATACCCCATTACAGAGCAATCATGTTGACAACAGGAGCGTTGGTCTTGGTCACTATGTGTCAGCAGCTTGTCATAACTCACTTACAGCAGGATGGAGGTCACCAGATTGCTTGTTAAGTGAATCGAAGTGGTAAGAGCTCAGCATTGACATGGGTGTGCTTCCAAAGATGGCTTGTCCATGGAGTGTCCGTTGATATTTTCGGCACATTAGACTGAATAGCAGTTTTTTGTAAAGACGTCGAATGAGAATGGTACAGGTTGGGTTTGCAAAGCTACTTTCTACTAGCTTGCGGTCAAAAATTGTTTGACTGTGTGTGCTCTGAGATTTGCCAGTGTTGGATTACGCATGAAACAACCAGAGTCCATCATGAAATCAAAGGCTTTGGAAAGCCTGAACTGAATACTGATGGGAAGGCTGCAGTCCTTCCATGGCTCTGCAAAAACACTGCTTTTATAGACATACACTGGACTCAGTACCTCAGTGAAAGTCAAATATAGGAACCAGGTCCCAACATCCATGTACACAGCCATCTGAAAACAAGAAGGTACACTTTCAAAATCGGCTCCTTGGGCTATTTGATTAATCAGTGGTGAATAATTATTCTCTACATACTTTTTTAGTAATTTCTTCATGTTTGTAGGTTTCCAGTTCCACAGACACAAATTCATAAAAACAAAATTTAGCTTTTTGGTCTTAATTGAAGGATATGGTTAGGCATAAGGTTAGCAGTGTGGTTAAGTTTAGGATTAAGGTTAGGGTTAGGTTTGAAATCACATTTTTAAGAAGATAAATTGAAGAAATAGGCTGAATTTATGACTTTGTGGCTGTAGTAACTAGTGGCTACTATGTTTGTGTCAATGCTTGCCCTCTCAGTTCCTCATGTGACCTAGGTGAAACCCTAAATTATTTATTGGTGTCTAGCAACTGCAACGTGACACGGCCATTTTGTTAACCTTAAATGTAATTGCCATTGACCCTTTGAGTTGGGATGACTGGTCAGACGCAGCTTGTCTGTGATGAATGTCATAGTTCTTGGTGGGCATGTTCTAAAAGCGACTGTGTCATGTCCCTTTCCTGTTGGCATTGAAAAACAAGGCTTGGATTTCTCAACATGCCATGCATTCTTTTCACTCTTTCTTTCCTGGAGTTTTGAAAGGCTTCTGAGCCTCCCACCCAGAAGTGATCGCGTAGCAGAAAGGCACACACAAAGCTCTGGGGTTATTCAGTTTGTTCTGAGCACTCTTCCCCATCGGCTGTTTGCCTAGTAATTCAATTCAGATGTGCAGGATCCAAAAACATGTTTATTTGAATGAAATCTACCCCTCCACCCACATTGACCAAGGACTGTGCTTTTCTTAGCAGTGTTCCAAGTTTAACGGCTCAGTGAGGTACTGCCACCTTGGACTCTTTCGCCTCAAACCGCTTAACAGACAGCCACCTTGTCTCTTCACTGGCTCAGCAACTTTTTGCTATTTTTCATCTTCCTGTTACCGTGTCAACTCGAATCTAATATCATTCCTCAGTGTTGCCACACGTCAGTTGTGAAGGCATTGTTCTTTGTTACAGGGACTGGGCAGTTTAACTAGCTGGCAGGTCTATGTAGAGAGCATGATGTCTGTGTGCCAATGCAGGTCCCATCTGGCTCCAGATTGCTCTTTCTATGTCCTGGCCGTCACGTAGATTTTGTTTATATTTCAAACACAGCTCATGTTCCATGTGGTTTCCTTATTACACATTGCCCATGGATCATGAAACCAAGCATGTGAGGCTGTGATGGGTAGGAGGGTTATTAGAGGCTGAATTGAGGTATTGATGGGCTGGGGAGTTGCTTCTTCTTTTATTTAGAACCATGATTAAGTAGGCGTTCTTCACATTTACACGTTAAGACCACTTGTTGTTGTGAGATTCATTTTTCATGTTTGCTAACTGGTAACTACTGTTGAACTGCTTTCCAGCTGAAAGTTCAATGTGAGAATGAAGAACTGTAATACCATTGCCTTTGTGTTTATTTAATTGTAACTACTCGCAATATTCTGATCTAGAGGAAGGGACTTGCTTATTGCTTTTCAGTCAGCACCTAATAACCCAGTAGAAGTTGATGAGGTAACCATCTATGTACCTAAAGGTAGACCACAGAGGGACCTCTTCTCTGAAGATGGTTTAAGCAGGTAGGCCGTTGGCCAAAATGCTTTTGCATGTGGACAGCCCACGTCTACATATTTCTGTTCCGTACATTATTTGGCTTGCTTTAATCGTATGCAGACTGATCCTTCATGTTGAAACTGGCGCTGTTAAACTTTAAACTATGTTCTGAGCGAACACATGATTGGTGTATTCCAAAGTGTGAATTATTAATGGCGATCATTTCCAATTCTCACTGAAGTGCTTCCCAAAAATGTGTTGGCACTCAGGTCTAGAGGTCTCAAACAGCATCCACAATATATGGAAAATTCACTCACATTGTACATGAAGTAGAACAACAAAGAATGCCTGAAGTATACATGACATTTGGGCTTTGGGTTTTCTACATTATGCATAAATGCTTTATGCAACCATCAGTGTTTTCTCTAGTTTTTGTTTTAGCAGCGGTGGCAACGGTCGCGGAAAGGGGGGGATACCCATTGACTTCCAGTCATTGCGCTAATGCTAATTAGCAACTTCCTTCAAACTGTAAGCAGAGACATAAGAATGGTATCCACGAGTTCATCTGACTCTGGAGAAGTAGATAAAGGGCCTATATATATATATACACACACACACACACACACACACACACACACACACACACACACACACACACACACACACACACACACACACACACACACACACACACACACACACACACACTCTGAGTGAGTATATCAAACATTAGGAATACCTTCCTAATATTGAGTTGCATCCTCCACTTTGGCCCTCAGAACAGCCTCAATTCATTGGGGGCATGGACTCTACAAGATGTCGAAAGCGTTCCACAGTAATGCTGGCCCATGTTGACTCCAACGCTTCCCACAGTTCTGTCAAGTTGGCTGGATGTCCTTTGGGTGGTGGACCATTCTTGATACACACGGAAAACTGTTGAGCGTGAAAAACCCAGCAGCTTTGCAGTTCTTGACACAAACCAGTGTGCCTGGCACCTACTACCATACCCCGTTCAAAGGCACTTAAATCTTTTGTCATGCCCATTCACCCTCTGAATGGCACACATATACAATCCATGTCTCAATTGTCTCAAGGCTTAGAAATCCTTCTTTAGCCTGTCTCCTCCCCTTCATCTACACTGATTTAAGTGGATTTAACAAGTGACATCAATAAGGGATCATAGCTTTCACCTGGATTCTCTTGGTCAGTCTATGTTATGGAATGAGCAGGTGTTGTTAATGTTTTGTATACTCTGTGTGTGTGTGTGTGTGTGTGTGTGTGTATGTGAATGTATATGTATATGTATATATAAACATCATATAACATCATATAATATGAAAGCTTTATCCATGTATTGTGTGCTTATCGTTAATTTACACCTAATGTGCACTTTGAATGTACTTTACCTTTTACAAGGCGTTAATCATTTTAAGTAACTTATCTCGCTTTGCATCTGCAATTTCCTCATCACAACTGGCATTAGTGAAATCAAAGCAGGCTTTGGAAGCAGGAGAAACACGTTCGCTAACACTTGGAAAGGTTGGAACTGCTTTAAACAATTCTAAGCAGTGTGAAGTAAGAGAGCGTACAGTCGTCTCAATGCAAACCTTGTTCCCTCCTGGACCTCGTTGGATAGATGAGAGGTTGAGAAGGGGGTGGGGAGGGATACTGAAGAAAGGTTAGGTTTTAGGAACAAGACTCCTTTCTCCCCCCCCCCCCCCCCTATCCCTGGTCCTCCCATGTGACGAGTTGGGCCAACAAGCGTTTCATTGAGCAGGGCAGCCAGAGGAAATAACTGTGAGGCCGAACGCTGCCTAATGAAAGAGATGCTGGTTATTATTACCATCATCGTCCTCCTGGCTGTCCTGGCCAGCTCCACTAGCTAGCTGCACTACAGTTAGGGGATATGGAGTTTCTCTGCCACCACACAGCTCTATTAAAATAGCTGAAATAACAATGAGGCTGCTCCAACAAAATCAAAGTTCTTTAACTTCTTGAAGTGTATGTATAACCCACCTCCCATTGTGATTGGTGCTGTATTGTGAGTGCTTTGAGTGTATAGGATTTGATTCCCTTAGACCAGATCGATAGATCTAGTACCAGTGTACTCAAACCATATCAATGAGAACCTAAAAACACTGTTCAGGGTTAATGTCATCCTACATGGATCAATGAAGAACTGAATAGTGTGTGGGTGAGTTAGCGGTGTGAGATAAGGGATTAGCCATGTGTATGGGCACTGAGCTACCTACGGTACTGGGGGCTTGTGTTGGTGTGACTTTTGGATCTTGGGCCCTGTTGTTTTGCCTGTTGGGCTGAACAAACAGTTCTCTCCTCCACTAAATGGCCGTAATGGTGTTGGTATGCATCCGCAGACTTTCACTGTGTCTTGGTGGGGATCCAGATTGCATCATAGGGCCTGTCACACACACAGCCACAGCCTGTATTGTTTACCAGGGAGGGCGGCCGGCAGGCAGGCAGACAGGCAGACAGGCAGCATTCTCAGGCATAGGGGCTAACCCTCACCTTTACACACATGACTCAGTGACACAGTGACTACCAACAACAAACATCATGACCTTCATGCCAACTGAGTCCATGGTGGATTTGGAACACAGTTTGCATTAGGATGCAGAGGGATATACATGTTGGTCAGTGTCATACATGTCAAGCATCAGGCACAACAAATGTCAGACTGTGTTATGAATGAGCCTGTTTCGGTGTGAGTCTTTGGAGACCGAGGGAGACTATTAAACCCCTGGTCTATCCAGTCCTCTCTCTCTGGTGTCTAAAGCCCCTCTGTGTGTTCCTCTTGTCTTTCCTACAGTCCAACAAGGTCCCAGTGGTGCAGCATGCTCACCACGTCCACCCGCTGACCCCCCTCATCACCTACAGCAACGAACACTTCTCCCCCGGAACCCCTCCCTCACACCTCTCCCCGGAGATCCTTGACCCAAAGACCGGTACACACATACACACACAACCTCATAGAATATCATGTTGCTGCCTAGAACAGCTCCTAATCCAAAGCATTACATGGCTTGTATTAAACTTAAACTGCAGTATATCTATTAATTTCTTAGAGAAATTGACCTAGTCTGTGACTTAAAATTACCTAAATGCTTAAACTGTCCCCTCTGTGTTCCCTTCAGGCATTCCTCGGACTCCCCATCCATCAGAGCTCTCTCCATACTACCCCCTGTCTCCAGGTGCAGTGGGACAGATCCCTCACCCTCTGGGCTGGCTGGTACCACAGTGAGTAACACACAGCATTAAATAGAACAGTATTATATACATGTTTATGCACCCTCCTCCCCAGATTTCATATGAACACATCATAAGCCATGGCAAAAAATTTAAAATGACAGGAAATAGAAAGAAAACGCTAAATTTTCTCTCAGCCTCATGGCAAAATGTGTAGAATAGCAGGAAATTAGCTATAAAACAGCACATTTTCCTCTCTGTCCCATGGCAATATGCCATGTATCTGTGGAGTAACCCACATCCTTCTAACTCATAGACATGGAGAATAGTTGTTTGGTTGATGTGCATTTATCTAACAGTCCTAACATGATATAGTATATGAGAAACATTGAATACGATATATTATGTACAGTATTTCTCAAACCTTGCAGTAAAGGATGTTCTGATGTAATTTTGATAATAAAACACTGACATATTTGAGATATTTATGATAAATTCTTCACATTCTATGGGTTTTGCTATGGGTCTTGTTACCAATTTGAACGGTGCTTTTCTGCAAGCAGGGGATTGCAGTTGAGTGCTGGATTAGTGCTGGTGCGTTATCTGTCAGCTGTGTCTGATCCTCTTCTCACTGGTGCCTTCCTCTACTCCTCTGGTTCTCAGGCAGGGCCAGCACATGTACTCTATCCCCCCGGGGGGGTTCCGGCACCCCTATCCCACCCTCGCAATGAATGCATCCATGTCCAGGTCAGTGGATCTCTTTGATCTTTGTCACCCAGTCTCAGCTATGCCCACCAACCCCTAACCATCCCTAAAAAGAGATATTCAATATCTTGTGGTTGTATTACATTCTGTAGTCATGTTTATGATGTTCTCATTGCTGGTTTATAACAGTCTTAGGACAGGGTTATTCAACCATGGACACTCAGTGGGCTAGGGACTACAAAGGAATATGGGTGCTAAGTCTTCTAAAAATGAGCTCAGCCTTCCTTCCAAAGAGAAAGTGAACAGATTATTGTCATTCAGAACCCTACCCTGTAGACATCACTGTATTTTCACTGTGAGCCAGGCCAGGCCAATGTTATGAGTTGATCTGCTACACACACACAAAGATGAAAGGTCTGAGAATTGATTAAGACAAAACAAAGCTCATCTGAACCGACAACTCCCATCTGATTGAACTTTCTGCCCCACTGTCAAAATTTGAAAGATTTGTAGCGAGCCTTCCGGTGTTAGTATGGGATGAAATATTCATCAGGGTCTCTGTATGATCAACAGTACTCTCAGCTGCTACCACAGTGTTACAAAGTTTGTCTTACTCTCCGTCCCACCTGAACAAGGCTTGTTCAGGTAATACTTGACAGTTTTGTCATAAATATATCATAATACTGTATGTATATGATGTTCTACTTTTTATTTTATGTTTTACATTTTCCTTTTCCTCATCTAGTTTTTTAGCGGCTGCTGGGATGGTAATGGTGGAAGAGCCCCCTCTTTTATGTATGATATGATAGTTTAAGTAGAAAGATATTGGAGAGATTAAAGTTTAAACCCAATTACTAATGGTTTGTCCTCAATTTGACTTGCTACTGTTAAGTAACTTTTTTTATAGCAAGAAAAACGTCTGTACTCACTCACATGAAGTACAAGGTTATAGTGTATTTTGGACTTTCATGGACCGTATCTGTCTTGTAAATTTGACGAGATTTTTATGAAACATTTAAGGATTTTCCTTTCATGTATTAACAAGAACGTGTGGCAGAGGAGCATGGAACTTAATTTCCCCCTTTGTCTATGTACAATGTACCATTGTGTTAGCTGTCAGAAAATGAGAGTTGTGCTATCTGAAGGTGTTCTGTTCTGGTATCTGTGGAAGAAAGACCCTGCATGGTTTTGAACACGGGGAGGAAAGTGGTTTCAGGTGTCATGTCCCCTCTGTCACCATGGTTACCATACACTCCACTTTTCTCCAGGCATGGTCGGATAAAGGGGCTTTTGAAAAAGCCTTTATATAAAAATATATATGTAGCTCATTGTGGACATTACTTTTGTCTAGACTCCAGACAAACAGTCAAAGCAGTTAATGTTGACTTGACAGGTCAGACAGAAGGAGTGTGTAAAAAGTTTGTTGAAAGTTTGTTAACCGTTGGGGTTGTTTGTCTTTATTGTTTCCAGCTTGGTGTCCAGCCGTTTCTCCCCCCACATGATGACCCACCACCCCCACGGCATGCACCAGACTGGCATCCCTCATCCTGCTATCGTATCACCAGCCATCAAGCAGGAGCCAAACACTCATGACCACATGAGCCCCTCTATGCATTCGTAAGGACCAATAACTAACTGAGATTCTTCACATTTACTTAAAACCAAACATATAAACACTCTATTTACTCTTATTAAAATTGGTTGTTGACTGACTTTCCCGTCTCTTCATAATTCCATTTAGAGGGCCAGGATTCTAGAGCATCCTGTTTCTTTGTAAGAAGTCAGCCAGGTCTTCTGGAAGGGAATCGGACCTCATACACAAGGAGGACTATTTTAAGTGACATTTGCAATGTGTGTTTTGTTGTCTCAGCAGGAAGTCTCCTGGCCCGGCGAAGAAGGAGGAGGACAAAAAGCCCCACATCAAGAAGCCTCTGAATGCCTTCATGCTGTACATGAAGGAGATGAGGGCCAAGGTGGTGGCTGAGTGCACCCTAAAGGAGAGCGCTGCCATCAACCAGATACTGGGCCGAAGAGTGAGCACAGCACAACACAACACAGCACTGCCTGATCACACAAACACACACCACAGTTTTGTAGGTGTGTTTGTGTGTGTGTAAATTCTGTACATGCTTTGACCAGTTCTCTGACTTTTGTCATGTTTGTGTTCACAGTGGCACTCACTTTCGAGAGAAGAGCAAGCCAAATACTATGAGCTGGCAAGGAAAGAGCGGCAACTCCACTCCCAACTCTACCCAGGCTGGTCAGCACGAGATAACTATGTGAGTAGGACATTTTCCCATGGATCTTTCAACAATGAGGGAAATGTGGGTTACGTAAGCGCCTCATATCCAGTTGGTAAAAAAATTATTCCATATATACTGTATTTCTAATGATCTACTAGACTTTTGTTCTCATACACTAAAGTTGTTTGATGTAGTGTTGAAGCATGTTGCTTTCATTTTGATAGTAACCCGTTTTTTCTGACTACATTGTTTTGTTTATCTGTGCAGGGAAAGCGGAAAAAGAGGAAGAGAGATAATAAGCCAGACTCAACACCAGAGGGTAAGGGGCCCTTTTCTCTGTTCTTCTTGGACCTTTCCTCTCTATTTAGGGCAGAAAGAACTCCATCTATAGGCCTGTGTGAAATAGTGCCTCTAGCTACACTTGGCTTGCCACTAACTCCTTCTAACTAACTCCTCTCTTCCCTCTATACTTTGACAAGCAGCATATGAAGTTCAGTGCTAATAGTGACGTTGTGGCAGGTATGTCTGCTGTTATGAACCAGTAAGGCTGAACTGCAGGCCACTGCTCTCCACTCCACCTGCAGTGGTCTGGTCTGTTGCAGCACAGCACTCAAACCTCATTTACATGCAGGCATTTAATGTGTTATCGACTTTGTTTATATGATCACATACTTTTTTTTCCACCCGATCGTTTAAGTTTCTAAAAACATATGCCATTTAGTTGTGCATTTCACCCCTTTCGGTAGTGTTCTTTTTGAAGTATAAAAAAATAAATAAACATTATTTCGAAGTTCATTTGTTTGTCCCAGACCTTTTGGTTTTCCATGTTCTGTACATTGTCTGTGAATGTTTTGTATTTTTGGCCAGCTATCATGTATGCAAGGGAACTGGCACTGTTGAAGGACTTGTAACAGATTATAGGCTTATTTAACAGCAATATTGACAAAGCCCCCTCCTTTTGTTTCCCCAGACTTCTCAATCAGTAACAAGAAGCAGTGTGTGCAATACCTGCCCTCAGAGAAGATGTGTGACAGCCCTGCCTCGTCTCACGGCAGCATGCTGGATTCTCCAGCCACACCCTCTGCAGCTCTGGCCTCCCCGGCCGCGCCCGCCGCCACACACTCAGAGCAAGCCCAGCCCTTGTCCCTCACCACCAAACCAGAAGGACGCCTGCACCACCATTTCCTAACTGGCAAACCCTCTGGATCTGCTTCGTCTTCATCATCTTCATCATCTTCTTCCTCCTCTTCCCACCCAAGCATCTCCATCCCTATTGGTACTTCAGGCAGCCACTCCACACCCATTCTCTCTCGGCCAATCCCCTTCAACTCTCTGCACCACTCAATGCTCTCCCCGCCCTCTCCTTTCCATCAAGCAGCCCTACATTCCCATCATGCCCTCTTCCAGTCGCAGCCCCTCTCCTTGGTAACCAAATCGTCTGACTAAATCTACAAAAGCAATTCTTTTTTTTTTTGTATCTTTTATTGTGCTGTATATTGCTTTTACTTTTCAAAAAGTAGATATTAGAACACATTTTTTTTAAATGATGAAAAGGAATAAATATTATTGGTCAATATTTGATCCCCTCCTTTTCTACTCCTCTCAATGAAACTAAATGTATTTTTTGTAAAGTTTACTGCAGAACTGGTTTCTTTGTTTGATGCATTTATCCAATGAACTACTTGTATAAAAGAAAAGAAAGAAAAGGAACAAAAAACTCCCTCTCCTTTTAGCCGAAACATGATTAATGTTAGTATTGAGTTTGATTTATAGTTCTGGACAATCATTTCAGTCCTTGCAACTACCCCTTTTCAATTCCCAAGTGTGTGACCTTTTGTGACATGTTAAATAAACCTTTGAGATTTGTTTTTTAGACATGCCTGGTTCTCCTTTCTTTCATCACTGCCTGATCACGCACATTCATTTGAATATGAATCAATAACATAATTTTCACATTAAATACATTTTGAAGCAATGAACACATTTCCTACAGGTTCAAACCTGTAAATACAGGTGCAGATGCTAACTTGGAAGGAGACTATTTGCTGGGAGTTTTAGAACTTATCAACAGCTGATGGAGTACTATGACATTCTTCAAGATAAATATTGGAAGTGGTCATTCATCGGTTAGTGACTGATATCTTGTATTTTTTTCACTCTAGTTGTTGATAATGAATATCATGACGATAGTGGGGGAAGAATCACTAGTTAATCTTTAATAGGGTGAATTTAGGCTAACCACAATGGAAAATGAAAAGCCTTGCCAAGGTAACAACATTTGAAGCCAACAAACATAAAAAAATATATAAAAAAATTGACATCTGTTCCTTCCTGGAATGTAGAGTCCCATAACAACGACAAAAAAGCAGGTCAGCCCCATCCCCAGCACACCAAACCCCTTTCGCTCTCCCTGTTTTACTGCATCTTTATTCACAATTTGGCACAGTGCTGAGGCTTTAATTAACTCTGAGGTATTGGGATGTAGCCTCTGGGACCTCATTAGGCAATTCAATTAGTGTAAAATACACAAGGTAGGTTACAGTTTTTGGTGACTTTGGACATGGGAAGCAATGCCAGGGATGGACCAATTAGCCTCTAGCTGGGAGACTGGCCTGGAAGAGCACATTGAACTTCCTTCACCCTGTGACTATGTTTTAGACCTTACCTTACCCACACCTCTTATAAAGAAGGGTGAGAGCAGAGCTACTGTTACTGTAGATTGTCATTGAAATGCCCATCCATATAATTGGCAGTTTGGTCATTAAAAAAACCAAATAGGAGAAGTAAGCAATTAGTTGATGATTGTATTCCTGCAACATCCTGATGGTAGGAGACTGACCAGCCTTCCAAACCCACCGCTCTTTGGGTTCCCCATGGCCCAGTGTAGCCCCTCCTGAGTCTAACAGTAACAATGGTTAACCACATGCATACTCTCTCATTTGCTTACCATGCTCAGTATCCTTATCAGCTCTGATAGAGAGTCTGTGAACATACAGATTAGCCTAATTAGGAAGGAGCGGAGTCAAAATTATTCTAATTTTATATATACAGTGGGGGGGAAAAGTATTTAGTCAGCCACCAATTGTGCAAGTTCTCCCACTTAAAAAGATGAGAGAGGCCTGTCATTTTAATCATAGGTATACGTCAACTATGACAGACAAAATGAGATTTTTTTCCCCAGAAAGTCACATTGTAGGATTTTTTATGAATTTATTAGCAAATTATGGTGGAAAATAAGTATTTGGTCAATAACAAAAGTTTCTCAATACTTTGTTATATACCCTTTGTTGCCAATGACACAGGTCAAACGTTTTCTGTAAGTCTTCACAAGGTTTTCACACACTGTTGCTGGTATTTTGGCCCATTCCTCCATGCAGATCTCCTCTAGAGCAGTGATGTTTTGGGGCTGTCGCTGGGCAACACAGACGTTCAAATCCCTCCAAAGATTTTCTATGGGGTTGAGATCTGGAGACTGGCTAGGCCACTCCAGGACCTTGAAATGCTTCTTACGAAGTCACTCCTTCGTTGCCCGGGCGGTGTGTTTGGGATCATTGTCATGCTGAAAGACCCAGCCACGTTTCATCTTCAATGCCCTTGCTGATGGAAGGAGGTTTTCACTCAAAATCTCACGATTCATGGCCCCATTCATTCTTTCCTTTACACGGATCAGTCGTCCTGGTCCCTTTGCAGAAAAACAGCCCCAAAGCATGATGTTTCCACCCCCATGCTTCACAGTAGGTATGGTGTTCTTTGGATGCAACTCAGCATTCTTTGTCCTCCAAACACGACGAGTTGAGTTTTTACCAAAAAGTTCTATTTTGGTTTCATCTGACCATATGACATTCTCCCAATCCTCTTCTGGATCATCCAAATGCACTCTAGCAAACTTCAGACGGGCCTGGACATGTACTGGCTTAAGCAGGGGGACACGTCTGGCACTTCAGGATTTGAGTCCCTGGCGGCGTAGTGTGTTACTGATGGTAGGCTTTGTTACTTTGGTCCCAGCTCTCTCCAGGTCATTCACTAGGTCCCCCCGTGTGGTTCTGGGATTTTTGCTCACCGTTCTTGTGATCATTTTGACCCCACGGGGTGAGATCTTGCGTGGAGCCCCAGATCGAGGGAGATTATCAGTGGTCTTGTATGTCTTCCATTTCCTAATAATTGCTCCCACAGTTGATTTCTTCAAACCAAGCTGCTTACCTATTGCAGATTCAGTCTTCCCAGCCTGGTGCAGGTCTACAATTTTGTTTCTGGTGTCCTTTGACAGCTCTTTGGTCTTGGCCATAGTGGAGTTTGGAGTGTGACTGTTTGAGGTTGTGGACAGGTGTCTTTTATACTGATAACAAGTTCAAACAGGTGCCATTAATACAGGTAACGAGTGAAGGACAGAGGAGCCTCTTAAAGAAGAAGTTACAGGTCTGTGAGAGCCAGAAATCTTGCTTGTTTGTAGGTGACCAAATACTTATTTTCCACCATAATTTGCAAATAAATTCATTAAAAATCCTACAATGTGATTTTCTGGAATTTTCTTTCTCATTTTGTCTGTCATCGTTGACGTGTACCTATGATGAAAATTACAGGCCTCTCTCATCTTTTTAAGTGGGAGAACTTGCACAATTGGTGGCTGACTAAATACTTTTTTTCCCCACTGTATGCAACCAATACCAATAGCTGTTATTCATTAGTATTGTCCATAAGCCATATATTGAACCATTTCCTCAACACAGCTGTACAATGCCCTCAGACAAGGGCGTCTCTCTCAGACTGGGTTCTTTATGGTCTGAACCACGAGCAACAGACTGTGCCTTTTTTGCCCTGCGGTGAGATACTGAGCTGTCAGTCTCCCAGCAATGTTTTAACAAATCATTAGCTATAATAAGTCTCTGCTTGTTTGCCTCTCTTTCTTACCTCATCAGTGCCATGCCTGCATGCCCTCAAGCTTCTTCCCCAATCCGTCACTGAAATTACAGGTAATGAGTTGTAAAAATCAGCCAGTAAAACTGGCTCCTCAAGGCTACATATCTATTGTAATGTTGCATTCTCCTTAGACAGTAACATTTACATTTTACATTTTAGTCATTTAGCAGACGCTCTTATCCAGAGCGACTTACAGTTAGTGAATACATATTTTTTTATACTGGCCCCCCGTGGTAACAAATTATGAAACTGAGAGACTCCAGGTGAATAACTTAAAATACAGTGTGCTGGCTATTCCAGGCTGGCTTCAAGCCATCTAATAACTGTCAATGAATTTCAGTCAATATCCATCACTGCCTCATTGTTTCAAAATTATCACAGGAATACAGGCGCCCAATTTGTGATGAGGCAATAGTAGTTGTTTTTGTGTTTCATATGTAGCTGCAATGTGTACAATTCATATTTGAACAAATCCTCTCCTATTGAAAGAGGGTGGGTTATTGTCACCCCATTGTAAGTGTGCTACCCTAGCCCCTACTTGTCACTGTTTATCTAATAATAAGTGTAGTATTTGTTTGCCTCTACTAGACATCTGCCATGTAAGCACTATGTCAGCTTTAATACATGTTAATTTTGCTCATTAAATTCTTGCAGTCTCTTGCCAAGGTTTTTTTTGGGTCCTCCTCTGATCTCAAATTAATTCCAGGTTAACCCTTTGATATTTCAAATGCATGATGTGGAGACATTGCATAGACACATCTCCACTGTAGAGACCAAAATAAGTCCACAATTAGACAGAGGAGTTAATACGATTCCTCTCAGGTTAGAATATCAGTGGTTAATTCTTAGAGATAAATCATACTATTGGATAATAGAGAAGAATCCATTTGGTTTGACGTGCAGGAGACACTGTAACATCCTGTTATTATATGCTGGTAGCATGCTGTCAAAAGGACATCAAATCCTAGGAGTGGCCTATAAGCTCCAAGGATTCAGGTCTGGCTAGCATGTATGAGCCATAATAACAGAAGTCAGGATGTGTAAGTAATCAGTGCCATTCTACATGGACAGTCTGGGAGTCTGAGACAGAGCTGCAAAACATACATTTAGTGTCTACAGCCAGAACAAACAGAGGCTACCATATTATCAACTAAAGTAGTACATTACACAAAGGGTTTAAATATACAGTAAAACATACTTTAGAACAGCCTGTATTGTCAACTTTCTGTACTTATCCCCCATCCACATCGACAGGGCTGCAGTGGAGCGGGACGAGAGCTTTAAGTTCCTCAATGTCCGAATCACTAAGGACTTTAAATGGTCCACACACGTGCGCACAGTCGTGAAGAAGACGCGACAGCACCTCTTCCCCCTTAGGAGGTTGAAAAGGTTTGGCATGGGCCCTCAAATCCTCACAAAGTTCTACAGCTGCACCATTGAGAGCATCTTGACTGGCTGCGTCACTGCTTGGTATAGCAACAGCACCGCCCTCGATCATATGGCACTACAGAGGGTGATGCGGACAGCCCAGTACATCACGGGGGCCGAGCTCCCTGCCATCCAGGACTCTATACAGTGGGGGGAAAAAAGTATTTAGTCAGCCACCAATTGTGCAAGTTCTCCCACTTAAAAAGATGAGAGAGGCCTGTAATTTTCATCATAGGTACACGTCAACTATGACAGACAAATTGAGATTTTCTTTTCCAGAAAATCACATTGTAGGATTTTTAATGAATTTATTTGCAAATTATGGTGGAAAATAAGTATTTGGTCACCTACAAACAAGCAAGATTTCTGGCTCTCACAGACCTGTAACTTCTTCTTTAAGAGGCTCCTCTGTCCTCCACTCGTTACCTGTATTAATGGCACCTGTTTGAACTTGTTATCAGTATAAAAGACACCTGTCCACAACCTCAAACAGTCACACTCCAAACTCCACTATGGCCAAGACCAAAGAGCT